TATATCTTTTAGATCGCACTTCTTTGATAACAATGGACCTTGAAAAAAGTTGGTCGCCTCGACCTATATTTTACGCACGATTGGTTAATTCTGATTACAATTTGTGTTAAGGTCCAGATGATAGCAACAACACATAAAAGAGGAATGCTATTTGTTAATGAGCACCTCTTTGATTTTATTGAAGGTCCGCACAAAATTTTTGTAACCATATCTGAAGCACAATAAAAAAACGACACTCGTTATTATGTCAATATATAATTGTAATATAATTGTATTAATGGAGAACTACTAGTTTTGTTTTACTGTGAATTCTTCTCGTTGTTGTTATTGGCGTTCTAATTCTTCTCACATAAAAGCTTGTCTATAGTCTGGGGATTTCTGTTATTTTCGCTAACAATTTTTTTTCCATATCCCATGTTAGGATCAATGTAAGAGGTTGAAAATTTCATATCTGAATATTTTTCGTTATCTGGAAAGTTACTTTTGACGATGGATCTTGATTGTTTCTGTGGGGCTTCTTTCTCTTGTATATGGATCACTCACGGGGTAAAATTGGAAAATTGTCGAAACTTATTTGACTTGTATTATGTATAGCATAGTCCGAATTATATACTTAAAAGGATTAAAATTCACAAAATAGTTATTTTGTACTAAAAATTGCTGTGCCATGCCTTTTAAAATAAGATTGAAAATCGTATATGTTTTTAGTAAAAATCTATTTCGAATAACATCGCTGACCAACAAACATCGCTGACCAACATTAATAAAAAAATATAAAAAAATAATACAATGAACAGTATACTTCTGACAGATATTTGGTTCTCTTTGAAAAATACTGGGTCATAACATATCTAAATTGCAGTCCCGAGTAATCTGAAGATATTTATTAAGAGTTAAATGATCAGAAAAGCACAATTATATATGTGTATAAATATATATGTTTTAATACGACCGCAAATAATGGTCGTATAATGCTATCACGTTGTCGTCGTCGTCGTCGTCGTCGTCAGCGTCATCCGAAGACAGATGGTTTCCGGATAATAACTTTTGTATAAGTAAATAGAAATCAATAAAATTTTAACACAAGGTTTATAACCACGAAAGAAAGGTTGGGAGTGATTTTGGGTGTTATGGTATCAACTGTTTAGGAATTAGGGGCAAAAAAAAGGGGGGCCCAAATAAACACGTTTGTAGTTTCCAGACATTAACTTGTGTTTAAGTGTATGGATCTCTCTGAAATTATACCACAAGTTTCCATACCACAACGGGATGGTTAGGATTGGCTTGGGGGGAGGGGTTGTGACTCAAACCGTTTAGGAATTAGAGGCAAAAAAGAGGGAAGAACAAGGGTTTCTTGGTTAATGGCCAACTAAGACAATTTGAAACCAGTGTAAGGAAGGTAATCCAAATATATTGAGGTAATACAAACATAATGTTTGATAACCTCCCTTACACTACTTTAAAATTATGTGTAAAGAATTTTTTTTCTCTAATTTTTGTGCTATTTTCACATTTCCTGACCGCTGTGAGAAAAATATTTCTCTAATTCTTCGTCAATTTATCCCTTTCTGCACCCATTGTATAAAAAAAATTTAATCAACGTGTGGTTCGTTTGATCTCAGTTCATCATTGGTTAAAATCCGATTATGACATCGAATTTTCTTGCTTTCCTCTGAATTTCCTATTGTGACGGCATGAAAAAAGGCGACCATGTCTGATGACGTCACATAGAAAGAACACATCGTTTTGCAGATCATTCGAAAAGAAGGAATAACTTTGCCTGCATATTGTTAGAAAATCATCGCGTTTTAAATTTGAAAATTTAACTGTCTCGAGTGGATAAATATCGTATCACACTCGATGCAGTGGTAGAATCTATATTTCTCATATCAGATTTCAGATATTAAAAAGAAAATTTCTTCATATATTTTTTTGTTGAAAAAAAAGTGGGGGATACATTTTTCTTTTCTTTTTCGGGTTGGGGTCAATATGCAACAGCATAGTGTATTGCACAAAATCCAAAAAAAAAAGGGGGGGTATTTTTTTTAATTTTTTGGGAGGGGGTGGGGCAATTCGCAACAGCGTAGTGCAAAAGCAAAAAATTAAGTATAAATTCAAATTATATAACCAATTCTAAGTTCTTTGACTACAGTTATTCTGTGTCAGAAACCTATTATGTGTCAAATATTTAATTACAATCCAAATTCAGACCTGTATCAAGCGTGAATATTGTGTCCATTTTTGTCCCAACGGTTCAGGGTTGGACCTCTGCGGTCGTATCCAGCTGCGCTCGGCGAAGCAATTTATTAAATACTTAAAGTATATACATATTAATTGTGAATATGATGAAACTGATCAACAAAATAAGTTAAAAATGCCCTGGTGTGGAATAAATGTGTGGTAAATTGATCATACTCCTTAATTTCCTTATTTCAATCAGTTTTAAATATTGTATACTGCCTTACTGATAACATGACTTTAATAACTGTTTCAATTTGTTTGCTTGGCATTAATAATTATGGATTCGGTAATTTCCGCTAAAAAAAACCCGAAGTTTACCGAATCTGAACCACCACCATCACTCACATACATCAAACATCATCATCACCATCACTGATCATCGCCTTCATCAACAAAAAACGTATAATGTTGTGACCACTGCATATAATGTTGTGAACACTGCATATAATGTCCCGACAACTGTATATAATGTTTGGACCACTGCGTATAATGTTGTGAGCACTTCATATAATGTTGTGAGCACTGCATATAATGCTGTGAGCACTGCATATAATGTTGTGAGCACTGCATATAATGGTGTGAGCACTGCATATAATGGTGTGAGCACTGCATATAATGTTGTGACCACTGCATATAATGCTGATCATCAACATAAGGCAGTTATGGCGTTCCATATAATTAAGTATTCCAATTAGTAAAACATAGGGAGTTATCTTTATATTTTGTATGGACCAAAGGCTGGATAGTTTTAAAAATATGTATTTTTTATGTTTTTCTGAAAATACTTTTTTACTGGATTATCTCACTTGGAATAATCCACAAACTGCTTCTTGGAAATTTAAGTACTGATGAGTTACTAAAGCTTCAACACTTGATTATTCAATAAATCATCATTTTTTTTCTCGTTGTTTTTATGCATTCATAAGTTTCAGGGTGTTGAAATTGGTCATTTTCATAGAAAAATACTGCCTCCAACATGGGGAAACTGCTTCCCGGTACATTACAGCATCTCCTAACCGAAAGGCATGGGAACCAGATGAAATATTTGTTTTATGGACTTCTTTCATAATGTTGTTTAAGCACACAAAGTTTCAATTAAATCTGATGACCCCCCTTGTGGACTGTTTTGCATGGTTTTATGGTAGACTGAGTGTTAAACAACAAACAATCAATTAGTATTCATTTGATAATGATCATCTCCTTTCAATATTTCCTTGATAAAGGTTTGCTACTTACAAGTAAACAATTGAACCAAGGGTTCTTAGTTGTTTACGTTTGAAGTAATCTTTTTGAATGTTTTAAAGACACACACCATCATGACTTGTTTGACCTTTATAGAAAAATTGTATGATAGATGACAATGGTTATGTTCCATGTGTCTTAACAACATTCATGTCTGCCTTTCCCCATGTATGACTTTACGTCTTTGCATTTTTACTTGCATGAGAAACACTAAGTGCAGCAGAGCACTTGGTTGGGTTTATGTTGCTCAATAGATAGTTTTCTGTGTAGTGTTTTGAAAATATTGTCTTGTTTCCGTTTGCAATGCCTATGATGTTGTCTGTCCTTAAACTTATGTTTTAAATTATCCTCTCCCTGGGTAGAGTTGTACTTCGAACTAGAAAGCAACTGTGTATAACATATGGATTATGCCACTCAAAATCGAACTAGAAGGCAACTGTATACAACATAGGGATTATGCCTCTCAAAATCGAACTAAAAGGCAACTGTATACAACATATGGATTATGCCACTCAAAATCGAACTAGAAGGCAACTGTATACAACATATGGATTATGCCACTCAAAATCGAACTAGAAGGCAACTGTATACAACATATGGATTATGCCACTCAAAATCGAACTAGAAGGCAACTGGCAACTGTATACAACATATGGATTATGCCACTCAAAAACGAACTAAAAGGCAACTGTATACAACATAGGGATTATGCCTCTCAAAATCGAACTAAAAGGCAACTGTATACAACATAGGGATTATGCCACTCAAAATCGAACTAAAAGGCAACTGTATACAACATAGGGATTATGCCTCTCAAAATCGAACTAAAAGGCAATTGTATACAACATATGGATTATGCCACTCAAAATCGAACTAAAAGGCAACTGTATACAACATAGGGATTATGCCTCTCAAAATCGAACTAGAAGGCAACTGTATACAACATATGGATTATGACGCTCAAAATCGAACTAGAAGGCAACTGTATACAACATATTTGTCTTAGTCCTTTGGTTCCCCTTTTTCCTGACAAAACGATTCTAGTTGGTTGTCTACCGCTGCCTTCAAGGCAATAGAAAAACTTTAAGAAAAAAAAAACAAAGGTCGTTCTTTCAGAATTTTTTGTTCTGGATTTTTTAGGTAGGGTTGAGTATTTGGAAAAACCTGTGAAGATCATACAAAAACAATTTCAAGTTTGATTCAAGTTATCGCTGTAGTTTTTTTTTCAGAAATGCACCTGTCAATCATCTGACATTTGTAAAGGACCATCTGATCACATAACTACAAAATTTGGTTTTCACTGACGCAGCCCTCAATAAAGCAATAAAGTTTCTAAGGAGTTGTTGAAAAGGACAGTTTACGACGACAGACACAAAGTAACGATAAAAGCTGACATTTATCTGTAAATTCTAAGCAAATTAAAAATGCAGAAAATAATTTAATTATCTTATTCTTTGATATGTATTATGATTTATGAACATATTGATATAAAAATCCTTTAATCGTTAGATGTGAAATCAACCAAAAGCTTTCTGTACTAATCTGTCGACTTGGTCGATACTAATTCCCGAATGAACAGCACTATATGTGTCTCCTGTACCTGAACCGGAACCGGAACCTCCTGATCCTGTTAACGTTCCTGTTCCCGTCCCTGTTCCTGTTCCTGTACCTGAACCTCCTAATCCTGTTAACGCTCCTGGTTTATATGTACCAGACGGTGGATATGTGAATCCCGGACCCGGAGTAAGATATATTGCTTTAGTCGATGGAAGATCTGGTGGAAAAGGCTTCCCCGTATATCCTGGTGGATAAGTGTATCTTGGACCAAGAGTAGGAAGTGGTGCATACTTTCCTGGAACATACGTTGGATAAGGGTGTCCTGGAATATATGTTGGATAAGTGTAAGGTTTTGCAGTTGCCATATGGAAATGTAGTCGTACTTCCGCCATGGATGTAGCCGATGCTAGTTGTTTTGCGGCATCAGTTGTGCCTTCTAACGTTGCATTGTTTAATAACAAATGAGTCGACGTTGCTCCCGAATTAACTAGCTCGTTATATACAGTTTGTGAAATTTTCTCTTTATTAATAGGGCCTCCTGCTGCAATTGCTTTCTGGACCTCAGCCTGCACGAGCTTATCGAATTTTTGAATTGACAGTTCTTCTTGTGCACCACCTGTTATAACATCAACCAGAAGCTCCGGCCTTGACAGAGGTACGTATTGCCCACCGGCCAAATAGTCAAGTGCCATGAAAAAGTCTTTATACGGAAGTATAGCTGGTTCACAACCAATAACATATAAGGTCACACCCATTTGAGCTAGGTCACGAACTATCTTCATTGGATCGTGTCCAGTAGGAGATCCGTTTGGAAATGAACTGTCTTGCGACGGAACAAGTCCATGAGGAGGTGCATCAGAAATCAGTACAGTTATTTTGGTGGCCTCGGGACGCCATGATAGTTTCGTGGCTTTGAACAAAGCTTCAGCCACTGCCTCGGGACCATCCCCACCTCCAGTGGCGCGCGCAGCATTTAGCCAAATTTTCATCCTGAACACGGAATCGGTAAAATTATATGTTTTTGTAACAAACGTATTATCCTGCGGAGGATGATCTCGATATTCAATCAATGCTAAGCGAACAGTGGTGTTGGAAGAAGTTACAATTTCGTCAACAATGGCCTGGATATGTTGTCTGGCAGTATCTATATACGATCCCATGCTCCCAGTACAGTCCATAACAAATGCTAAATCCAGTGCTTGTCCACCAGAACTGCCCACAATGTCCCTTTGTACTTGTGGATTTAAACCATTGACGGCCATTGATTCTACGAGCGATACAAACATCAACAAAGCCAAAATCCTTTGACCAAGAGGATGCATAATGTGTACCATCTAGATATGTATCTTGAAATGACTTCACAAGATTAGTATACTTATTTATGTAGATTTGTCTATCGAAGATAATTTCACTAGCACCTGTTTTGTTTACATGGGTCCCAATAATAGACTGCCAGTTCCTGTTTACCATGATACCTATATCTTAGTAGGTGTATGTCACAGCAATCTTTATAAATCAGACCCACATAACCTTACATAATTGTGTTCTGTGTTTGATTTGATTATATATCAGAGAAGGCATAAGATAGAGGAGTTGCGATTGTTAGTTTAAGTCTCAAAGTAACGATACCAAATTTCAGAAGTCAGAGAGCAGGCAGTTTTAAATTTGAATATCTTCTGTCTGTAAGGACTATATTGAGAATTTAATTTCTAAGTGATTTTTTTTGTTTTGTTTTGTGTCGTTTTTTATACGACCGCAACCATTTGCGATCGTATAGACATAGACATAGACATATTGTATTACTTCCAACCAATATGCCCTAAATAGAGCAATACAATCACTCATAACTAAATAAACAGATTCATAAATAAACAAGAAAAAAGTTATTTTTATAATTGAATATTTATCATAATGGAGCAGAAAAAAAACCTGAAGTACAATATAATAAATTGATATAGGAAGATGTGGTATGAGTGCCAATGAGACAACTCTCCATCCAAGTTACAATTTATAAAAGTAAACCATTATTGTATAGTTTTGAGGCGTCTCTACCTGGGGAGGGGAGAGAACTCCTACTCCAAAGTAGCAATCTACTAACTGTAAAAATATATTAGTTATGCACATGACTAGTTTGTTAATATTTCCTCTCTTTTATCAAACAAAGTTTACAAGATACAACTTAATTTTAATATAATGTTTTAACTTCATTACTGAATAACCAAATTAATTTAGTATCAGGGGACAAAAAAGAAAAGTTTTACAATTTTTGCTGAAAAAATTTTATTAGTCATTTCTCACATTATGGAGACAAGGACAAGGAAATAAGAAGTGAACCTCATCTTCTACTTTATTATGGCAAATATCACATATTATATCTTTAATATCCAGCGGCTCTTTTCACAAAAAATCTTAAGAGTGAAAATACTCGTAAGCCATACACATTTCAGTATAACTTACGATCAATTTTAATCGTAAGATTTTTTGTGAAAAGAGTCGTAGATTCTTATATCTTCCCTTTTCAATATTTAAGCTATGAGCACTAAGTCTAAATTTAATTGAAAACTCCTCTGGTTTTCATTGCCATACCTCAGATATGTTTCAAGCTGAAAGCAAGACTTAAACTTCCTGCATGTTCTAAGCTTACTTCCAACTTTAGCATTATGTATATTATCATTATTTAGTTCTGCTGTTCATCAATGTATGAATTGTGTAGGTAAACAGAATTGTATTTTATTCAATATGTAATTATTAGTTATTTTAAGATCTCTTTTGAATAAATGACTCATATTTATGGGTCTGTCGTCGTTCGTTCACATTTGATTTCCAGGCTATTAATTTAGTTAGTGATATCCAATCTTGATGATAATATAATAGAAGCTTGTATTCCGAGGGAAAATACCTAAGTTTATTGATTTTGGAGGTTCCGACCAAACCCGTTTCTGAAATAGGGACAAGATTGGTAAAACAATTATATCAAGTTGTTAGCCAAAGGGACATAACTAAAAAAAATCATTTACAATTTAATATTGTATTATACTATACCTGAGAAAACTATCCCGGCTATTCCTGTACATTTGACAGGATACCTTGACAGGGTAATGGGTGCTTAGGGACAAGACAATATTTTTTAGCCCTCCCCCTTTTTTCTAAAATCCGTTATTTTTGTGTTTACTATCGATTTCAATTATTTTCTCGTTTTTGTGTATTATATGAACATAAATATACTAGAAATCACTTTTATTTGCTATTTTCTATCAATTCCTAGTTTACTATCCACAGCGGTCACTCCAAGTTTAATATCCAAAGCGATCAGTGACCGCTGTTGATAGTAAACTTGGAATTGATAGAAAATAGCAAATACAAGTTATTTCTAGTATATTTATGTTCATATAATACAGAAAAACGCGAAAATATTTAAAATTAAAAGAAAAAAAATAACGGATTTTAGAAAAAAGGGGAGGGCTAAAAAAAATTTGTCCTGTCCCTAAGTACATATGGACAGGGGATACGAGCCTCTATTCCCTATAAAAAAATATTACTAATGTTGAAAACAGGGCCGTCAAGTATGATATAGTTGTATATCAGTGACCACTGTGGATAGTAAGTAAACTTGGAATTGATAGAAAATAGCAAATACAGGTTATTTCTAGTATATTTATGTTCATATAATACAGAAAAACGCGAAAATAATTAAAATTGATAGAAATCAAAAAAATAACGTGAGGGCTAAAAACAATTGTCCTGTCCCAAAGAAAAAAATATGATTAATGTTGAAAACAGGGCACTCAAGTATAATATAGTTGTATTTCGGACTTCATAGGAGAAACGAGCTCATAGATTCCCGGTGAAGATCACGAATTACATGTAGTTTACAGAACTAATAGTGTGTCACTATGAGTATTGCGTTCCGATACTTGCCCAATTTTCAAATTTTCGACAGCTGCATGCTGTCGAATTAAGCTACGTTCGGCGCACCAATTTGTGTCATCAGTGAAGTTTCAGCTTATCTATTTCAGAAATCCAATACCAATATCATATACATAATCAAATTGTTCGGCCATTCGCGCACATGTATGACAACAGTAAAAAAAAGTTTCATTCTTTATTGTTTAAAGATATATCTTTTACCATTCCGAAAAATATATCAGATTTTTAAAATGGATGAAGTTAAGGGTTTTTCCTGATATCTTCGGATAGGGAATTCCAAAAATAAGAGGAGTGTAAATGAAAGACTGTTTCCCATACCTTGTGGTCTTATCATATGGAATTTGAAATCAATTAGAAAATTTAAAGTTGTATCTATTATCTTGTTTGACCATAAGGTCTGATAATACAGTGGGTGTTCAAATCTACTGATCTTACTAGTGTCAGCCTGGTACACATTTTACATATAGATTCTACCACTGCATCGAGTGTGATACGATATTTATCCACTCGAGACAGTTAAATTTTCAAATTTAAAACGCGAGGCTCGCCGAGCGTTTTAAATATTTCAAATTTAACTGTCGAGAGTGGATAAATATCGTATTACGAGATTTGGTGGTGGAATCTGTTTCTCTAATGATTTTCAAACAATACGCAGGCAAATTTATTCATTCTTTTCGAATGATCTGCAAAAAGATGTGCTCTTTCTATGTGACGTCATCAGGCATGGTCGCCTTTTTTCATGCCGTCATAATAGGAAATTCAGGGGAAAGCAAGAAAATTCGACGTCATAATCGGATTTTAACCAATGAAGAACTGAGATCAAACGAACCACACGTTGATTAATTTTTTTTTATACAATGGGTGCAGAAAGGGATAATATGACGAAGAATTAGAGAAAACAGATTATTATCTTAATGTTTTCTCTTAGATCTGTTGTCATTTTTTCTCGTATTGGAATAAAAACAAGAATGCGATCATAATCGGCAACAATTAAAGTCGGACAACATAATAAATCTATGAAACAATGGCAAGTCTATTAACTTTAATCAGCATGTGACCAATAAGCCTCAAAATATTTAAATGTTACACAGCTTTCTTGACATATATGCTTGATGAGGTTTATAAATAAATTTAACATCTAATTAATTTCTACACTCAAATAGTTTGACAGTTTCATCCCAAAAAATGTCTGCATTATCAGTAGTAAAAACATGGGTGCTTTGTAATAAGACTTTTCCACAACAGCAATTGCCTTGTTTTTTTTCTTGTTTGGCTGCATTAAGTTAAATGAAATAGCTATCGATAAGTCCCATGAAAGTAGCAGCCAAATATGCATTGCAATCTAAACCCAGTTTCTAATCTTTCAAAAGTTTTTAATAGTAGTTTTGCATTAATGTCCTTGCCTGACGGTGCAATAAAACCTATCAAATATTCCAATAACTGTGCTGCTAGCACTTTTTCAAATAATATAGAAGGAAATTGGAATATACTTTTTAATATAAGATGCTGCTTCCTTGGTTTATAGAATAATTTTCTAGTTTTGGCATTAGATTTCTGTCATTTTGGAATATGCTTCATTATATATCCTTCATATCTTATTTTAATGTCCATTACAATATTACTGATCAAACCACCAGCAAGAAAATAGTAAGAAGGCATCGGATAGTCTTCCACATTCATAAGGAAAGGGTAGACAATCGAAACGTTAGTCAAGAAGAAGGGAACACGGGACAAAGACAAATCCCGGGACAAGAAAGCGCACAACTTTTTTTCGCTTATCGTTAGGCCAAGAAGTTGTATTAGGTAGCTGAATACTTTTTTGGATGCACTAAGTTTTCTTGCTCAAACTAGTGGTTTGTCGTTTCTCTCTGACATCCGTCGTGTTTCTCATGAATGTTGTGTTCGTGAACAGATGAAAGGAAACTACGATCAAGGGAGAAACTCTGTCGTCAATCGGGAAAACAGACATCCAATTCACATTCGTTCCGGAAAACTCAGTCAAAAAGCAATGGGGTTAGGTGGAATACAAATGGCCAGATCTAACGTAGAACCAAAGAAAAAAATCTAGACACGCCGGTATTAAAGTAATAAGCCCACAAAATATACTCAGATATTCAGAATATTTTTTTTCGCATATCTCTCGATTTTCTATTCCGGACTACAAAATATCTAACCAAATTGTTCCATTCAAAACAAATGAGCATATGCAGAGATAAACTAGCAATTGAAGGTTGCTGATTTGGGAGAGGCGCATACAACTGTGGTTGGGATAAAATCTGGTTTAAAGAGTTAACATCATGAAAGAGATGCTAAGTATGCTCAAACCATTATGTCA